GCCCAGCACGTGACACCCCAGCGTCTCCCACTTACCCACCCAGGGCACTGGTGGCTCCTGGAGCCGGTGGTGCCAGTGATGTGGCAGAGGGGAGCTCTGCTGTCTCCTGGGATTTGTCTCCTCATGGGGTTTTTTTTAATCATTATTTTATTAGAGGAGTAGGTACGGTGCCATCAGATAACTTTTTGTGGATGCTCTGTCAGTTTTGTGCAGCCTTATTATTTTTAATATTGCAGCATTGCCGGTTTGTTTTGCTGGGAACATTCACGTATCGATTCGCAGATTCTTTTGTTGCCTGTGTTAGAAAGTCCCTTTCCCCTCGCTCCCTGTGCCGAGAGAAACAAAGAGTAAAGGAAGGTAGATGCTATCTGACGCTTGCTCAGATACCAAGGTGATTTCTGAGAACTGCAAAGCTGGTTACTGACTCCTATCTGGGGTTTGTGTTCACACTGTTAATAGCTTTTATTTTTTTCCTCAATGGCAAACGAGGACACTCACTTAAGGAGAAACCAGGGGTTCTGGATCACCCTTTTTTCTGTTTGCAGAAGCCTTCCTGGGGGAAGACTTCTCTGCCATCAGGGACAAAGTGGTGCCGGGAGGTGTTTCTGGAGGGGGGAGTCTCATGTCCCTCCTGGGCTTCTCTTGCTGGGCAGGGTGATGGGGTGGCAGCTCGGGCGTCGGAGGGGTGGGTAGGGGATGGGGAAGCAGCTGCCAGGAGCAGAGTGAGTTATTGTCTGATCTTAGTATGAGATTTGCATGTCTGCATATGATGTAAAACTTCCCTGGTTATTTTTAAGGCCTGCCTGTTGCTGAGAAGTGAGCTGGGGCTCAGCCTTGTCCCTGTGCAGAGATGCAAACCCACTTGTGGCCAGCACTAACTGGAATAATGTACTGGAACAGGGCTGAGCAGGATGAGACCTTTCTCATTTAGTGAGGAAACACGGCTGGTCATTTGCTTGGGCTAGAAAAGGAGGAGAGAGGCGGTTACTTGGATATTACTACGTGATGCATATTCAGCACAGCAGCTTTTAGGTATCCTGTATGTAACACACTTGATTCGTGCCTTAGTTGTGAGTGTGGTGGAAGTGTGTTCTGTTTTCCATTTGTTTATTTATTTATCGTCTTGTTTTCAACCTCTGCGAAGCTTGATATAGGTATAGAGCTTTAGAAATGTACGCATAACAGAATAACAGATAACTGTGATTTGGTTACAAGGCAATAATTTAAGTCGACAGGTTTAGCTGATAACATAAAACACAAGAAAGAAATAGGATCAGTTTATAAACGTCAGCAGAACCCCTGCAAGTGAGTTGCTGCCTTGAAGCTGACTCTGGTGCTGTTACTCCATCTAATATATTACGAGAAGAAATAAACGGATGTCTGAAAAAATCTGGCTGACCAAGATTAAAAGAATAGGGCTATAAATTAAATTTTTCCTCAGCGTCACTTTAAGCAACTTTCAGGACAGACTGAGCGCATCCAAATAAGACGAATGCTAATGCACCGGCAAGACCTCCAAAAGACCACGTGTTTGTAGGCTGCAGATGCTTGGATGTGTGGCAGCACCCAGGCATGGTGACGGTTTGTCCGGAGAGCGGTCTAAGTCAGAAAGCGGTCGTGCTCCAGCTCGTGCAGGAGAGCAAAGCCCATCCCGATGTTTCTGCAGCTGCAGCGGGCGCCGATAAAGGGATTAAATCGAGAACAGGAATAACATCGTCATAGCAGCACACTGCCACAGGATCAGCTGTCGCTCTGCTTTGATGTTTATTCCTGCTAATACCTTGTCATACGCGTGGTGGCAAAGGGTTTGTTATCCCCGGGAAGTATTTACCTGTTGGACGCTATCTTTCTGGCTGCGAGGCAAAGGACTATATGATCGAGGGGCTGATGGGCAGCATGTCCCCATCAGAGACGCTGGGCGACCTGCTTAAACCCCATGGCTTCCTCTTGGATCCGTCAGTCCCAGCTGATGCAGTAACGTGTACTCAAATCAATTCAATTGTGGTTTAAGAAATTCCAAGCAGGAGATGTTTTCTAGGCGGTGAAGAATACGAACCAGTTTTGGGGCAAGGAATTTGCTGGCTTCTTCCTCCAAGGGCTATAGCCTTTTCTGCAGGTTCAGGAAGGAGGTTTCGCAGCTATTTCTATTCCCTCAGTAGATGATTCGGAGGTGGGAAAAGAATTAGAATGGAAACTCTTCTTTCCCTTTCAAAGGAGCGAGGGAGTAGGACAGAGTGAGATCTAGCGGCTGTAGGATTTGATCTCTGGAGAGTGAGGCCGATCAACTTCATTCAGTAACGCCGACATACAGCGCATACCTATTTGGATAGACATCGTTTATTTTTCTAAGGTGTCAAGGAGAAAAAAAGGTCAGAAAATTGCTTAAATGTAAACTTGTTTTTATATTTTTTGTGTTTCATTTCTCAAATGCAACTTAATACAAGCAATAAGTACAAAATTAATTCCTCTAGGAAAAAAAGCTATTAAGAGTGTGATTCTGTATCAACAGCACGTGAAGCTGTGTAATTGCTTACATGCGAATCGCTTTGGTGCATGCTCCCAGTTGTTCGATAGAAATCAAAGAGTATTAACTGTTTTCAGAGGAAGTGTCTAGAAGCTACATATCGAAGCACGTTTCAAATTCAGGATTTCCAGCTCGCTCATTTAAATCAGCAATTTTAGCCACCCTCAAACACACTTTATACATAATGCTTCAAAATACCCCAAACTAAACAAGACCGAAGACCTCATCCTGTCTCAAACATCTGGACTATTTTAAGTGACTCCACCAATCTTTTTGCTGAAAACAGAGACGTCTTTCTTGGTTTATTTAATAAAGCAGTATGTTTGTCCTGCTGTGGCATGAACCTGCGCTGCTGTGCACAGTGGCGAGAAGAAATCCCTGTAGCAATGAAAGCTGTTTAAATACATCAGGACTGAGATTTCTGCTCTGGGGTTTGGATGGTCTCACTCAAATCTCGTTTAGGAAAGTGCGAAGAAGCAGGAAAGGTTTGTGTCTTCTCCAATAGCAACCTCCTTAATGTGATCGCGCTCGGTTTGTGAGCTTGTGAACACTGGGGTTCATGTTTTCTTTTATTTACCGCTCGCTGAAAATAGAAGCTGGGAGGACTGGTCGCACAGAGGTCTGTACTCTTGGAATGAGGACATTTTTTTCTGCCTGGATCCGACAATTCAGGAGCTGCTTCAGCGAGTGCTGTGGTTGTAACCTGGGCTGTCCCAGCGCTTGTGACCCAGCGAGGAAAGCCGCTGGCTTGGGGAGGGGAAGGATCCAGCTCACCCCTTGCTTTCTCCTTATGGAGGGGGAAGAGTCCTCGTGCATCTGTGTGTTCAGCACACAATGCCATTTTATAATTATTATTTTTTTCCCTTGCTGGCAGGCCCCTGCCTCAGTGTCTCCTGAAACAGAGAGAGGAAACGCGGTGTTGTCCTTTTCGTGGAGATCCTACAATCTTCTTTTCAACTGGCATGTCCCGGCTGTGTTGCCTGCGAGGGGGACAGCTCAACTATCACAGCGAATTTCTGCAAAGCTCAGCTTTTCCAAGTGGGAAGATGCTCCTCTAGATAGACCTACAGATTAAAGCTCCCGCGTATCACAAGTAAAGGAGCAGGAGGAGGTTTGGGTCTGTTGGTGGAAAGCGTGCCAAGTGCGGAGGAGGCATATCGAGTCTGTGTTTGCATAGTTGAAGCTGGGAAGATAATCATGTGTGTCCCCTCGCATATCCGACCAACTCAACTTCCTATGGATGGGGTATGGTAGAGAGAAAGAGGAGCTGTTCTAATAGGAAATCCTCCAAAATGCATTTTCCTGTTTTTTCTAAATGCATTTATACCTGCTGGATGGCTTTAGGCTTTGAAATGTTTTTGTCTGAATTGTGACAAACATCCCAGTCTTATGTAGGAAGCACCGGGTCCTTTGATCAGTGAAATGTCTCTTTGGTCTTGAAGAGGGAGGGATCAATCTGGTCGTTCCCTAGACTAGAGCATTTTGTCTTTGAGTACATGTATTTATTGTATGAAATAATTATCCATGTCTTCTCTTCCTTTTGGTAGGAGATGCTACCTGTCTCCTGCATGCTGTGTTATTTTATCCTAGGCGTCTTGTTAGGTAAAAGGAAACAGATAAAAGAAAGGCTGAATAGGGAAACCTCATCGAGAGAGGAACGTGAGCAGCTGTGTGTCTGCCCATCTGTGTGCAGACCTCTGTATTCATTCAGCTGCAACCTCGCTCTCTTAAGCAGGCACAGTTCTTGCTTTAAAAGAAGCAGCAGCAACAACATCAAGAAGAAGCAACCAAATATTGCCACCTCCATCCCAGTGCAACGACAGGCCACTGTGATGTTTGTGGTGAATCGTGACCAAGAAAGAAATGCCTTGCATTTTCCATTTTTCCTGCATTTAAAACTAAACCTTAATGTATTCTGTATTTTTTTTGTTGGCAGATAGTAGTGATCATATATTCCTTTTAATACAGTATTTCCAAACCAACACGGCCTCGCCTTGGTATGCTTGATATTCAGCGTACCTGGCTGCACTCTGCAGTGTGCTTTGATTTCACTTTGGCAGCTGTATTTTATGCTGTCTCCCCCAATCAGCAACCAATTCCCCTTTCTCCAGCAATCTCCAGATCCGCTCCTGATGTGGAGTTTTAGTGCTCTCTTAGGAACTGGCGCGGGAGGGAGAAGGGAGCTGGTGCTCTGCTGGGCTGGGGTCCGTGCTCCCCTGCGGCACAGAGCTGGCCCGGCTGCACGGGGACGCGGTCGGTGGGTCAGGGTGGCATTTCTGTGAGGTTAAAATGGCCCTTGGATCAAAGGGGCGTTGCTGGAGGGGAGAGTAGTGGGCGGCAGAGAGCCTGCTCGTGTTCACCATGCGGGACGAGGCTTTCCTATCTTTCGGGTAGGGGTGTGCGCCTTCAGCTCATCCGTCGTGCTCAAAGCTGAAACAATGCACGTGCTCTAAAATGATCTGGCCTTTGTTTGTAGGTCAAGCTGTTCCTGCAGGGTCACACGTACGATTAAATCTGCAGACGGGAGACAGAGAAGCCAAGCTCCCAGATAGCGAGAACGGAAGAAGTGACACGAGAGAAGAGAGAAGAAGAAAAAGGTACAGTGATGCAAAGCATCAGGGGTGAGTGGGCTGAGGGATTCATGTCTTTTATTAGAGGCCGGGTTCCCTGGTGCACTTAATTGCTGCCTCTTCCCCAGACTTAATTGCTGGTTTAAGAGTTCAGCAGTCGGAAAGCGGAGCCTTGTCCTTCGTGATCCCTTCAGGATGGCGGTAGAAGTGCCCTGAGTGCATATTTAGAAACGCCTTCACAGCTTTGCATGCCATGACACCGAAACTAACTTTGCAGTGTGGCTTCTTTGAATGACATTTAGTCCTTGGAAACATCTGCAGCAATCTGTCTGAAACCACGTTCAGAGCTTAAACCATCAGAGCAGTCATGAGGGGCTTCGTGTTGACCTGAGCCAGATAACATTGTTTTTAACTGGGTGCAGCATTCATTTACACATCAGTTATTGCCGACGTTCTCCTTAGATCACACGGCTTTCCCTGTACCCACATTTTTAAATGTGTTTTAAAAGTTGCACTGCTGCTTTTCTGCTTGGCACCCTCCTAACAAAGACAGATTTAGTTATTAGGGGAAACTTTCTTTCCTAAGGCGTGTGGGATTTACCACTGCTTCCCTCGCTCCACCAGTTCCTCCTGTTCAGAGCGTGGAGAGGCTCTTCAGCTTCATGATGCCTCAAGAGCTGGCTTTCCCTTTTCCTGTGCAGGAGTGTTTGTGGCCCAGATAAACACCCTCTGAACCAATGAGATCGCCGTAAAGAGCAACACAACGTAGTTTTTAGCATTTCTGTGTAATTTCTGCTTGGGCTTGCCCTAACTTTGTGTATGACAATCATCAGCGCTTCAGCTCTAGATCTCCATGTTAAAGCTTGCAAGTCCTTGGCAGTAATTTGGCGGCAGAGTGGTGCTTTTTTGTTGCTTCTCTGAAACGTTTCCTGCTTTTCTGTACTGCTACAAGAAATTCAGAGGCATAAGTTCATCAGTTATTTTTATTGTGTTAGGACTTGAGATTTTGAGTCCACATGCAGATTATGGAGCCTTTTATGATTGTCAGGCTGAGGTGTCTGCAAAGCACACGCAAAATATAGCACTTGGACTGATCTTTTCTTGAACGTGGAGGGTTTTTGTGTGTTTTAAGTGAGATGCATGAAAACCTAGTGCTCTTAGTTCCTTTCCTCCTGACATTATCCATTGCTAGCGTATCACATTGAAAATATTATAGATACAGTTGTTCAGTCATAACACGTTATGTTTTATTTCCCCCGCAAGGCTGGGCAAGGTGGATGTTGACTCAAATTCATTCACATCCCAGGAGCTCAAAAAAGCGTTGGCTAAGATGAAGGAAACCGAGAAGGCAGAAAGGAAGGTGAGTTCCCTGTTTCTAAACCATTGCACAGTACACAGATGTGAACACATTACCTCACATGTCTCAGAAACACACTGGTTAAAGTAATTGCTTGAGAAAATTCTGTGCCGATTAATCTTCTGGTGAATATGGACCTAAAAGACCTTTGCTGGCCTGTTAGCAATACAGTTCCCTGGGAAACTCTCACCCCTTTCTGTACTAATCCTGGGTTTTCTGTAAAAATGGAAAACTTTTTGTTCAGGTCCATTTTATTCATTTCAAACTTAAAAACCTTGTGTTGCAAGCTGCTTATAAGTACTTACGTATATTCTCACAGTTCAGGGTGTTTCTCGGTAATAATTATCCTGTGGGCTGTCTGGGGAGAGGGGCTGCGGTGATGGAGTGGGCTGGGATCAGCAGGTTAGTGGTGGATCAGCTGTCAGATGCTGCTGCTTTCTGGTCTTTACTGGCGTGGGGTCTGAACTAGCAAACCAGGTACACGGTATCCACTTAACTGTCCTCGGCACCCATCCAAACACCGAATTTTTTACCGCCGTTCTTGGTGTTCCAATGCTCAAGTGAAGCTATGGGATCTTTCCCGAACCCAACACAGGTATGGTCAGTAAGCTCTCTGGTGTGATGCTGCTCTCCTAATTTTTGAGATACCAATCTGATTACACCTGAATTCATAATGTAAAAAACATGTGTGACACTTGCAAACACTTGTGTGAACCCATGGGCTGATTTCCTTTCCACTGTTTGGGTGGTATTTTTATCCATTTTTTTGATTTATTTGTTCAGCTGCCACTTGGTTCACAAAAATGTCCGCAGACCCCCAAACTGGAATGGTTTGCAGGGTGACGGTATTTGTAAAAGCAGTTACTTTGCCGTTCGCTATCCTCCTGGGCGTGAGGGAGAACAAAAAGTGTTGGGCAGCTGAGGTGCTTCTGTTCTGGCTTTGGTGATGGTGACAAACCGCTGGACATAGCATCCCCTGCCACTGGCACAGCTGGATCCAGAAGTGATCTCATGGTTTGGGTTTCTAATCTCATGCCCTGAGTAGTAAAAACCAAATGGGTGTGGTGAAGCCTAGGCTAAAGTTTCCTTGTATAAGCTGTAAGTTTCCCATTTAGTTACAAATAGTCCACAATCCAAAGTAAAATAGAATTTAAGTGCTGCTTTCAGCTCTCTCCAGGCGTGGAGCTGGTCCTCAGCCACTGGCATGACACCAGCAGGGTGGTATTTTCCCCTCTTCCACTCAACCGTATTTCCTCGGGCTGTGCCTCCTCCTGCTGCCTTGATGTTGTCTCAGTTGAAGGAAAACTGAAGTAGGAGTCAAGGCTCTGAAGTCTTGGAGTCGCAGAAAATCTTTTTTTTCCTCCTATCTGGCATGAGGGCATTATTTCGTTTTCTATAAGATTATTTATGTAGCAGCCAGCATTACTGATAGCAGGACTTCTTGAAATGAGTGTCATTTAAATGCAAAAATTAGTGATACTCTATTATGTGAAAATAAGCCATATTTTAAAAAACCCTGTTAGAATAGCTATTGTCCCAGCAACTGGGCTAAAACCAGCTACGTCTAATGGACCTAAAGTACTCCATTTAAAATCACTCCTGCAGGGAGCAAATTCATCCTTGAAGTAACTGTGTCAAAGTAAATTGAGTTACACCAAGCGTGTTCCCATCTATGCTCTTGCAAAAGCAGTTCTGTGCGGTTGGGGTGGGGATGGCGTTCTGTGTTACCCATGGTATCTATAGTAATTAGGCTAGTAGTCGTTAGCGTCGATTGTACGGCTGCCATTAGATTGACAGTGCTTTCACTTCCATCACTTTTTTTTTTTTTTTTTTCTTTTTCTTTTCTCCAACGGCTCCAGCCCTCGCTTCTGTTCGCATGCGGGGGAGCGGGGCAGTGCTCACAGAGGGGAGCGCGGCACGTGCAAACCCTCTAGTTGGGGGTCACTCCTATGTAAAAACATCTTTTGGTATTTGCGTTTGTGACAGAATCCCTTTCAAAAGGGACTTTCTTGCTTTCTCGTGCTCTTGGGGCAGCCCATCTCCTGTCTCACCTCTCTGCTTCCTCCGTCCCCTGCAGCAGCAGGCTCTGTCCCCGCCTGTCCCAGTGCCACCAGTGCTGATGCTGGAGAATCGGTTCCTGCCAGCTCTGGGGCTCACTTAGATCTCTGGCGGAGCCCTTTCCTTCTCACCGCATGCCTTTCCGCAGCTCTCTTGGTTCGTCACAGCCCTTGGGGTTGTGTTTGCACGAGGGAGACGAGCCGTGCTGCAGGACGAGCTATCTCCTGGCCAAGCCCCATGGCATGGCGCTTCAGCTGTCCCCATCTCACAGCTGCTCCTCCCGCCTTCCTTCCTGACAGCTTCTGTCCCCAACAGCGAGTGCATACATTTTTCTGAGAAATAAAGCCATCCTGAAACGCGTTAAGCGATTGGGACGATGAAAGCTTCTTCGTACACATCCAAGGAGATCTCCGTGATGTCACTGGCACAGTGTCACTGAGCGGTTGAGGCCGGACAGGACCTCTGGAGGTCTCCAGCCCTGTCTCTGGCTCCAGGCTGTGAGATCAGGGAGGTTGCTCAGGGCTTTTCGCAGTCAGGTCTTGAGAACATCCACTTGCAGGCCAACGGAGGACAGCAGGGCTGCCTGCCTCTGGGCTTGATGTTGTTTTGGAAAGTGTGTAGGATGTAGAAATGGTGTACAAAGCTCTAGGTACAGGCTTGGGAAGTGCTCGCTGGTACCCAAGGGAAGTATCTCACAGATAACTGGGTTCCTGGGGTTCTCAGGACCCTCCAACGCTGCCTCTGCATCTCTGATGCACAGCAGTAAATCCGTTTGCATAGGCAGCCAGATTCCCCTTGTAAATTTGGGCTGGGGTTTCTTCTATGTCTTTCTTGGTTTTCTTTATCACCTGCCTTCATATCTGGTTTCCTCTTCCTGCTTTCAAGGCCCACGAGGAAGAGGTGAGGAAGAAGTTCCGGCCCATAGAGCAGCTGAAGGAGGAGTTTGAAAAGCTGAATGTGAAGATGGAAACAGATTATGAAATTATGGTTAAATTAATCAGCAAATTCAACAGCTCTGCCTCCACGCTGGATGAAAAAGTAGCGGCGCTTTATGATCTTGAATATTATGTTCACCAGGTAACAAAAATGCATTAGTAACTACCGTGTAAAATCCAGGGGATACGGTGTCATAAACCTGGTTTTATTTTTCTTATCGGTATCAGGTAATACAAATTGCTTAATTATCATAATCCTGGGACAATAACAGACAGCAGGCTATTGCAGGCTTATTTTATATCCAAGATTGAATAAATCATTGCTCATGCCAGTAGCGAGCAGTTTCCTAGGGGTTAGTGTTGCCTGATTTGTTGTCTATTCTCAGGCTTTTTTTTCTTGCCCTCTCTTTTTCTTCTTTTATATGCTTAATACTACAAAATGGGGTTTTATCTGCCGTTTTTGGGTAAATAGAGTGGTGGCTGCTAAGAAAACAATTATTTTCTCACTCCTTCCACGGAAAGCCTCTGTGGTTGCAGGTAGGTGCCCTTACATCCGTTCGCAGAGAATGTCTTTGTACCAGGGAAGATGACAACCACCCAAAAACCTGTATTTTGTCTCGGTGTGAGTCAGAGGGGACACGTAGAGCCTCTGTCATGGCTGGGCTGGTGGCGACAGTGACTGAAGGCTCGGGCAAGTGGCAAGTTGCTGAGCATCAGCTGAGCCGTGTTAATCGGCTCGGTGTGAGATTGAATATATTTCCTGAAATCTCACTTCCTCAGGTTTACGCTCACACTTTTCCCCCACTCCCTCTGATCTCTCTTGCTCTGCTTTCAGCTCACAGTTGTTCCCTCCTGTTGGTTGCAGGCTCTGGGCACACTGCTCTCCTCCCTTGTGCTCGGTGCCTTCCCACGCTGCCGCAGCAGCTCGGGTGGGCGTCTGGGCATCGAGGCTGTGTTCTGCTCGTGAGAGAGGACTGAACTTCTCCCTCCCCAGCGATTGGGAGAGTCTGGAGCGGACTGGGAGTTTCTGGTGTCGCTCTCAGTGACTTTATCATTTCAGAGAGTGAATGGGACGGCTCTTGGGAGATGCCAGTGCAAGACCTTTTGCTGGAACGGCACTTCTTGAAACCAAACGTGGTGTTTTGGGGGAAGGTAGCTGAAGGGATGTGCTGCTGAGAGAGGGAGTCCATGTGCCAGCTAATAGAAGTGTTATTTCCAGGGCTCTTTGTCTTGAATTTCCACATTAAACCTCTGTCATACGCATGCAGAGGCTTCCTTGCTGTTTGTTCTCGATGCTTTTGTTTCACTGACGGCATCTGTCTGACTCAGAGAATAAGTGTGAACAATGGGCACCCAAAGAGCTTCATATTTATACTCAGGGCTAATTCTGTCTGGCTAAGGGTGCCAGAGCATCAGGCTAGCATGCTAAAAAGCAACCCCCAAACGCCCTGGGATGCTTTGGATTCTAGCATAACAATCTGGACTATTCCAGTATAAAATCCCGCCTGCTTGCAGCACGGGATGGGGCAAACAATTTCAGAAAGGCGAGAGGAGCAGGGAAGCGGTCCCCGCTCCCTGTGTGGGGACTGGAGCATCAAAGGGAACCACATCCATCATCAAAGGGGTCAGAAAGGGGGAAACGGCAGGGAGGCTGGCAGGGAGCACAGAGGGCTCCTTTGTGCATCCATCACAACGTTGCTCTGTGCCCGCGCTGTCGGGGCAGATGGCTGGGCAGCACCTTCTCATCAGGCAGGAAGCTGATAAGAAATATGACTTGTCTCTAAGCCAGCATGGCTTTTCCTCCTCTTTCTTCTTCCAGCCAGTTGAATGCGTCCAGAGTATTATCTCTGCTTGGTACTGACTGTAGCAGCACTGGCTTAATGTAATTACTGAATAGCAGCCAAATACGCTTGTGCCGCATAACCCTGAAAGGGCTGAACTTGTCAGGAGTCCTCTGCAGCGAGCCACAGCCGTGGCTGGAGGATGGAGATCCTTGCAGGTGTGGGTGGCCCAGGACAGCGTGCACCCACGTGTGGGACCAGTGATGGCTCTGCTGCTCCCTCTTCCCCCAGTGTCCATCTGAGTGGTGACGTGCCACGGCTTTTGATAATTGTTCAGCTCCCGGCCGTCCTGCTGCTGGCTCCGGGGCACAAAATGCCCTGTCGAGTGGAAAATGCCGTGCCTTGCGGGTTTTGCAAGCAAAGGATGCTCTCTGCTCCATGGCATGGTCACGAGCATCCTGGAGCGCTGGGATGTGAAGCAGTGCGTGCCTCCGAGCTCGCCGCGAGGGAGCGGAGGGGAAGCTGCGGCCGGTGCCAAGCCGGAGGAGAAATCCCTTCCCTGCTCTTGGAGAGTCAGCCCAAGGGTTCTGTGTTTGCTCAGCTTTTGATTGCCAGCTCTGCTTTGCTTCTCATCAGTCAGGATTCAACTTGGCGTGTTTGGGAACCCATCTTGGAGAAAGAGCAGGAAGGTTTGGCTTGCTAGGTTATCTGTAACGCATAAAAACCAAATGCAAATGTGAATAGGCCAGAGCATAACTCATAAACAGAATTCATGGTGCTTGCACAGCAATGTGCAGAGCCAAGACCTGTTCTCATGCGTTGCAGGCTCTTTCTCTCAATTATTTACTCTCCTTATCGTTCTCTCTCCCCTCCTCTGACATGCTACACCATTTCTCACTGCTAATTTCCTCTCCGTTGCATACGGTTGACATCCTGCTTTTCCTTCCTCTCCTTTTCTAACATTTTCTCTCTTGCCTTCCCTCCCTGTTTTCTTTCTCCTCTGATTCAAAGCTGCTTCCTGAATAACTACTGTCATAGTTGCTCTTCTCCCATCCCTCTCCTCACCCACTTCGCATGTGTACTTTACTCAAGAGCTCTTTTGATCTTTGGCTTTCTTCTGTGCCGATTTCAGTGGGCTGAAGCGAGGCACGAGCTGCTGCCTCACAGCATCCTCCGCTCCCCAGAGAGGTTAATACCTTCAAGTTGTGGAGTTTGGGGGGTTTGTTGGTTTTAAAACGGTGAGTGAGGGAAGGAGAGCTCTCACAGCAGACGCCAGTTAAAAAAAAAACCAAAACCAAAACCAACCTTCAAAATAAGCTTTACAGCACAACTTATATATTGTGGTTGAGGTGTCTCCCTGATGCTGGGGCTGGCCTGAAGGACTCCGGTGCTGATGGTTACAGTGACGGTTGGTTTTACCACAACTGATGCTGGATGCAAACTTCTGCCTGTCCATGCATTCCCTCTCGAGCAGAAGTCAAGGTTTAACGCCAGTGTTAAAACAGCCTCAGAGTTTTTTACAGAGGCTGAGCAATAAAAGGACCCACTGGTAGCTGAAATTGGGTTGCTGCATAGATTTCTTTGTAGGCAAAGATGAGCCTGCAGAAAAGTAAGAGGTCTGGCAGGTCCAGTTTATAGGGACAGCTAAAAGAATAGGATCTGAAAGGATACAAAAGCTGCTGCAGATCCTGAATCAGCCCCAGCAGACCTGCAGAGATCTGCTTTCTGTTGCCAGCTTTGCAGAGGGACAGCAAGTGGTGGGTATTGTCCCACTGGGGAGAAGAGATGAGCTGTAGCTCCCCAGGTCCTGCTTTGGTAAAGGCATACCTGCAGGATATAAAGTTAAATAGCTCCTTCATTCTCTTGGGTACCTAAAATATCCATCTTGTGGCCACTTTTGGTGAAGGTACACGGTTGAGATAAATATAACACTAAGCATGAAGTCACTGTCAACTAAAAGAGCGTTCAAGCTGGAGCGCGGTGCCTTGCAGTGTTTGCCCCGTCCCACCCCATCGGTGGGGTCTGCTCACTGAAGCTGGGGAGGTCGGTTTGCAGGGTTAATAACTTGTTTTTATGTTCTATTTCCATCCGCCACCGTAAGCTGTTGTCTCCTTCTCTTTCAGGGAGGAGAAATGTTCAAATTCTAAACTCCATTTTTTTGCGCACGCAATTCTAAGCATTCATCAGATTCCCTTTTAAACTGCAAAAAAAAAAAAAAAATCCTTGAAAACCAAAATGCATCGATTTGACTTTGGACTGAATTTTGTACTTGAAGCACTTTGTGCTGTTTCTCTATATTTTGTTTGCCAGCCACTCGGAGCCCTTTTCTAATCTCGGCTCGGAGAACAGATGCCCACTGTGATTTGTGCCTGGTTAGCCCCAGGTCTGGTTAAAGTCAAACACTGATGAATCCCCACTAAGGTTTAAACTTTTCCCTACCGGCAGTTAGTCCAATATTGTCTGGTTTAGAAAAATCATTGCTCAGGCCGTTCCGAGGGAAGGCTCCTGGCTGACCCTTCCAAGCACGGGCTGGCCTTTTCTTTTCACGTCTGCATGAAGTTGTTGAAGGTAACTCATGAAAAACGCCCAGACCTGCCCATTCTCCTTGCTTTGAGCAGAGGGGATGCTGAGCAGAGGGGCTGCTGCCCGTGTACCGTTGCTGTTGACAGGCTCTTAAACGTCCCTAACTCCTGGTGCTACAATTAGAGCATCAATTAATTAGTTGCATTTGCAAAACATACAATTCCCTGGCTTCCCAGTAATAGCCTACTCAGGTGAGAGAGCAAAGAACTGGGGTTTTTTTGACATCATCGGATTCACGGAATTTTTGACATCACCTGAATTACCAAACTATGTGTCAAGAATAGTTTTGGGAGCTAATCAAATATTTGAGTTTTCAGTGATGCCTTCTGTGTGTCATAATAGCCACCTGTGAGTAAACTGTGCTTCTGCAACCATGACATCCTCTGCTCACAGACAGTGTTGTACGAAATTCAAGCCACAGTCGTTCCCTCTTAATTTTTAATTGCTTTTAAAACTCAGCGGTGGTTAGATTGGGAGGGAAGAGATGACTGTGCTTTCTGAAGCAAGGCGTTCTCAGAGAGTTGTTGAGTGGAATCTGGCTGGGGGGTTTGTACTGATGGGGACCTCCTCTCTCCCAGGTGGACAATGCGAAGGACTTCCTCTCCATGGGTGGACTCCAGCTTGTGATCGACGGGCTGAACAGCACCGAGGCCGTGCTGAAGGAGCATGCTGCCTTCGTCCTGGGATCCGCGCTGTCCAGGTGAGCTCTTCCCCT